GCAGCCCCTGCAAACCCAGCCCTGAGCTCCCGGGGCCCACCCACAACCCTTTTAAGAGCAGAGCAAGCATTGCCCTTTTAAGGCGGCCATTTCGAAGTCTGCTCCAGTGTCCTGTGCAGACAGAGACACCCTGCCCCTTTCAGAGCTGCGAGTGTGAGAGCCACATTTTTTCTTTGAAGAGCTGCATGTGGCTCTTGAGCCACGGGTTGGCCATCCCTGCTTTATGCCATATTGAGCATATTAAAGTTATTTCCTGTATAATTTTTGTAACTAATGCTGAAGTGCCCTTTAATAATTATTATGATGATATCTGGACCTGTCACTAATGTGATGTTTCTGTTCTCTGTGTCTGTTTTGGTGGCAGAACCTATTCATGTGGGGAAATGGAGAAAGTTCTTAATAATAGTTTCTTAACTGCTTATAGAGGAAGTGGCTTCATCAGCTCTACCCTGATCTTGTGTGGAGCACTATATCCAATTTGAACAGGATGGATCAGACAGAGTATCAGATTAAGAAACAGACATAAGACCATTTGGTTTTTGCAAAGAGAATTTAAGTTGGTTCAGTCCTTTTTCTCTATCTTAAGAGGAGAACCTATTTAATTTAGTTGGTGGTAAGTATAAGATTATACGAGACTAAATACACTTATTGGCTGTTTGTAGTTTTAAAATTCTTTATTCAAAATGCCAAATAAAATACTTCATGTTAAAGAAGGGGTTGTCAATCTCACTGGTCACAGATTCTTGAAGGGAGGAAATACAGGTGCCTGAGATCTTGTAAGAGCAGAGTGACAGACACACTGTTATACAATAAGGTAGATAGCTAGAGTTAGATAGATTCATGGAGGTTAGGTCCATCAATGGCTATTAGCCAGAATGGGTAGGAATGGTGTCCCATACACTATTTCTCTGGAGGTGGATGACAGGGTAAGGATCATATGAGGATTACTTCTTGTGTTTTCTCCATTTGGGCGGCTCCCCACACAGCCAGTACCTGTCCCACTCCTCACAGCGCCCTCTCCTGGGAGAGGCCGGGGCTGGTGTAGCCAGGAGCTCCCCCCACAGCCAGCTCCTGCCCTGCTCCCCACAGCACCCCCTGCTGGGAGAGGCCAGGATTGCTAAGCTGTCCCAAGAAACCTCTTGCTGAACAGGAGGGCTACGTCTACACTACGAGTTTTTGTGGCAGAAAATATGCTAACGAGGGACTCATTAGCATAAGTCACAATCTCATTTGCCTATTTTCGGCCGATCCATTTTTTCAGTAGGGGGTTTTTGTGCAAAAGCAAGCAGTATAGACATTTCCTTTTTGCGCACAAGCCCCTTTTTCTGCAAGATCGGTATACCTCCTTTTTTGAGGTCACCAGTGGGGATGCCTCAGTGGGCTGTGTTGTAGCTCCCCATCCATTCCAGGCCTGGCTACCCCTGAGGGACCCCAACACTCAGTCCAAGTAGGGCAGAGTAAGGGGTGGTCTCTGTGCTGAGGAACAGTGGGGCGGGAGCAGCTGGGAACCTGTGGCAAAGCGGGCACCTTTGGGCACCCTCTGCTCCCCTCACGGATCTCCAGCCTCGGGCAATCAGCCAGGCGGGGTAGGGGCGGGGGAGGCATCAGGCTCTGGAAAGCCCCTGGAGTGTGTTAGGAGGAAGGAGGAAAAGGGTGCTCAGAAGTTCTGGGAGAGAAGTGGAGTCTAGTGGTTAGAGTAGGGAGCCAGAACCCTCGGTTCTATTTCCTGGCCCTTGGCTTCCAGCTCAGATGGAGTCGACAGAGGCCAGCCTGTGCCCAGAGCAGGGAAGGGGCTGGATCCTGGTGGGGAGGGTGCCCTTGGGGTGGAGCTGAGGCCAGCACCCAGCTGCTGGAGGGAGGGGGGTTGCCAAGCAGAAGCAGGGATGCGGTGGGGCCTAGGGACTTGGAAAGGGGCCATGGGGAGCCCAGGAGCTGGTCTGACTAAGGGGGGCAGCTCCCACCTCTACAAGGTCCCCTATCCATGGGGGTGGGAGGCTCTGTCATGTGTCAGGCTGCCTGGCCACTGTTGAGAGAGGGAGCGGTCTGGGGGGCTGGGTGCGGCACCTGGGGCTCTGTCCTGGCTCGTGGCCCCGAGCAGAGACTGGGGGGGCGGATCAGCTTTCCCCAGACTTGTCACTTGACTTCACCCCCCCAACTGTCCATCTCTCCTCCTCATTGTCCTCTCCTGCCCCCATTGGAGGCCATCAGCCCCCAACTGCCCCTCACGCCTTCAGAGGTTGGCAGAGCTGGGTCTGGGAAGCCCCCCACTCCCCACAGAGTGAGCTCATCCCTAGTGGTCATCCCCTGCTAGTCCAGCCCTGAGCTCCCCCCAGCTCTGCCAGGGCCCCTCACCCCCAACCCACAGCCCTGGGCTCCCCTAGATCTCTTCCAGGTCCCTCACCCCAACCCGCAGCCCCTGCAAACCCAGCCCTGAGCTCCCCCCAGCTCTGCCAGGGCCCCTCACCCCCAACCCACAGCCCCGGGCTCCCCTAGATCTCTTCCAGGGCCCTCACCCCAACCCGCAGCCTCTGCCGGCCCAGCCCTGGGCTCTCATCCCTGGCTCTGTTGAAGAGCCTGGTGTCTCGGGGAAGCATAGGGCTGGGGCAGCAAAGAGCAGTGTGTCGAACTCGGGGGCACCCACAGAGCCAAGCTGCAGCTCTCTCCCATGGATGAGTCTGGCCTGACGCCACAGCTGGTCCCGCGAGCGATGTTCTTGCCTGAGTCGCTGGCGTTTTCCTTTGCTCCTGGGCTGTGGTTATAGAATAGGGTGGGGGAGCTGCATCTGCCTCCCTTCCCAGGCAGAGCCCCAGGCTGTGTCAGTGCAGGTGGCCGGGCTGGGAAGGGCCCGAGGGGACCTCCAGCCCCAGATCATCCCCCAGCCCTTCCCTGACCCCTCCTTTAGTCTGAGTTTTAACTAGGGCTGGTGTACTGGTCACAGAGATCTGGGCGTGCCAGGCAATGGGTGTGCCAGGAAATGGGTGAGCCAGGCGCTGGGTGTGCCAGGCAATAGGTGTGCCAGGAAATGGGTGAGCCAGGCTCTGGGTGTGCCAGGCAATGGGTGTGCCAGGAAATGGGTGAGCCAGGCGCTGGGCATGCCAGGCAATGGGTGTGCCAGGAAATGGGTGAGCTAGGTGCTGGGTGTGCCAGGCAATGGGTGTGCCAGGAAATGGGTGAGCCAGGCGCTGGGTGTACCAGGGAATGGGTATGCCAGGAAATGGGTGAGCCAGGCGCTGGGCGGGCCAGGCAATGGGGGTGCCAGGAAATGGGCGAGCCAGGTGCTGGCTGTGCCAGGGAATGGGGGAGCCAGGCGCTGGGCGGGCCAGGCAATGGGGGTGCCAGGAAATGGGCGAGCCAGGTGCTGGCTGTGCCAGGGAATGGGGGAGCCAGGCGCTGGGCGGGCCAGGCAATGGGGGTGCCAGGAAATGGGCGAGCCAGGTGCTGGCTGTGCCAGGGAATGGGGGAGCCAGGCGCTGGGCGGGCCAGGCAATGGGGGTGCCAGGAAATGGGCGAGCCAGGTGCTGGCTGTGCCAGGGAATGGGGGAGCCAGGCGCTGGGCGGGCCAGGCAATGGGGGTGCCAGGAAATGGGCGAGCCAGGTGCTGGCTGTGCCAGGGAATGGGGGAGCCAGGCGCTGGGCGGGCCAGGCAATGGGGGTGCCAGGAAATGGGCGAGCCAGGTGCTGGCTGTGCCAGGGAATGGGGGAGCCAGGCGCTGGGCGGGCCAGGCAATGGGGGTGCCAGGAAATGGGCGAGCCAGGTGCTGGCTGTGCCAGGGAATGGGGGAGCCAGGCGCTGGGCGGGCCAGGCAATGGGTGTGCCAGGAAATGGGCGAGCCAGGTGCTGGCTGTGCCAGGGAATGGGTGAGCCAGGAAATGGGTGAGCCAGGCGCTGGGCGTGCCAGGCGCTGGGTGTGCCAGGTGCTGGATGAGCCAGGTGCTGGGTGCACTGAGCTCTGAGTATGCCAGGTGCTGGGTGAGCCGGCGCTGGGTGCACCGAGGTCTGGGTTTGCTGAGGTCTGTGTGCCGGGTGCTGTTGCTGCTCTCCATGGTGCTGAAGGGGACCCCAGCTGTGGTAGGCAGTGTCTGGCAGTGCCCGTTCCCAGCTCAGCCCATGTGTCCTGGGAGTCCCCGTCTCTGGACGGCTCCGATACCCACTCGAGGCCCATCCATGGAAAGGGGCAGGCCCATTGTCTCCGCTCAGTTCTAGGGGGCGATGTGCTGCAGGGAGCAGGGGCCAGGTGAACCCAGAGGGGGCTTCTGTGCAGTGTTGGGTGCTCCCTGTAGAAACAGCCCCATGCCCCACCCCAGAGGGGGCTGCAGCTGTTGATGCTCATTCCCTCCCTCCCTGCTAATGCCCCCTCTCCTCTTCCCCTCGGCAGGCCAAGAAGCTGATCGTGCCCAACAGCACGGCCGGGCTCATCATCGGCAAAGGGGGCGCCACGGTGAAGGCCATCATGGAGCAGTCGGGGGCCTGGGTGCAGCTGAGCCAGAAGCCGGCGG